AACATTATATCCCACGGGTTTAAAAATAACGAATGTAAAGTGGGAAAATTTACAACAACTTTTACCCTATGTATACTCTGTTTTTTTTCTCAGGTAAGATTTCGACAGACGATGACAGAAGAAAAGCAGATGACGTCCCATACCAATCTATTTATTTTACTAAAAAAAGTTTCTAATAATTTTTAAGTTATCTATGGATGGGTTTAAATATAAATCCGTCCTGCGTCGTGTCTTGTTGTTTTTAACCAGTTTTATTGGTTTATTTAAAAAATGACAGATCGTATTTCAATTTTATTGGTTTGACGGAACGATGAACGACAAACGGACGCCGATGCGTATGAACTCGCCTTTAGATTTTTGTCATTTTTGACGCTTGTCAAAGTCTTGCCAAATTATTGGTTATAATTTTGTGTCAACTTTTGTTAAATACCCTGCATTTTGAAAGATGATGCATTTTGATTCGTATTATTACGTGTGTTTTGTGTCTTTTGAAGTCAAGTGGAGGAAAAATCGAGTGAAAATTAACTGTAGGCCCAGAGCACAGTTTATGGTTAATACACGCTGCCCAGGCAGAAAGTCTTATACACCAATGAAGTTGCCATCGATAAAGTTTGTATACCATTTCGTCGTAGATAAGTGCATTTCGTATATAAGGATCAAACTAAACACATACTAAAAACTGGAGTAGCTGTAAAATATCGACATCACACGATAGGTAAATAATGGATTTTAGTACTGGTGCAGAAAAATAATGTCAAAAGGTACTGGTTTAAAAAAATTAAGATTAAAGGTAATTAATCCACCTTTAAGGTATAAAATTTGGTAGGTGTTATTATTAATAAAATAGTTGTTGTATTTACCTATGTTGTTTTATTTATACCTGTGGAATATTACAAATTTGTATTTGTACATAAGTTATATTGATAAATATAATCATAAATGCGGGTAGTTTCATAAAGCTTGAAAGTAAATAATAGTTCTTTTTTATATTTTTTTGGTATGTAGTGTCTTGTTCTTGTTTGTTTTGTATTAACACATACCGTTTTTATTAAATAAAATAACTCAATTACATTTTTCCAGTTTTATACAGTTTTTTTTCGCAATATTTTGAAGTAATCACTTGTCATCTTGTCAATCAAATTTTAAATATATCCTGCTATGCGTTCCAGTTGTACCAACTTATTTCTTTGTAAAATAAAATAAACTACTTTGAAATTAAAATGACAGACACATCTATCACTGTCAAGGATCTTCTCGTTGGACAGACTATACCTCCTATCCACCATAAGTTTTATAATGAATTACAACATGAAGGAAAAAATACCAAAAAATAATCGCGCGCCAATTCGAGCAGACAAATTGAAGAAAGCAACGATGACATAGCTCTTAGTGAACCAGATAGGGCAATTTTCGACTCAGACTGTAATAATTAGAAACAAGAACATCCTTTTCGTATTTTTGTACTACATTTTTTGAATTTTTGTTATCATTTTGTACTTTTTTCTACCAATAAACATGATTTAAGTGCTATTTTGATGTATTTTTATTGTAGGCAAAAGGGTTCAAGTGCATTTTTTCAATATTCTATCGAAAGGTAATAAGATGTTAACTTAAAAGCATTTGGATCTCGAAAAAAGGTTTTGCAAATTTTTCACCTATATTTTACAAAAATGAAAAAACTTTAAACCGTTTTTACTCTATTTTTTATATTTTGCTTTCCTTTTGCTTCTGACCCCTTCAATTATAAATATATAAACAAAACTCACCTTCTTCACCTCAATTAAGGAACATAAAGGGCTATTTACTACCGCTGTCCCGTACAAAATATTCTAATAAAATTGCGATAAGTTTTTTACGGCTATTAAGCTATCTTGTACATTACGCACTAAAAGAGGTTCTAAAAAGAACAATGTTCGACTGTAAGGTCTGCTACTAAAGATTTTAAAGCTTAAAGTATCACAACACTATTTATTTAAACCAAAAACTCGTAATACAAAACTAAAGTGTCAAAACGAATGACAGTGTCACAAAATAGATAAGTAAATGTGGCAACTTGGCATTTTTCACAGCAGAGCTACCACCTGAATCCCTAGCGGGAAATGCAAATTCCAATTACTCGACCGGGCGTCGAATATTTCCATGGTTGGCAACAATGCATTTAAAAATCGCGCCCTCAATTACATAACTAAAACTTTAATTGATATCAAATATACATAGAAAATCTTTAAATAAATAATGTTTTAAGTAATTTTAGTAATACAGGTTCCGGAGAAAAGTTATTACTCTTCAAAATAGTTAAACAACATGTAGCAATCCTTCCAAGTGGGAGTCTTACGTCTTACTAACATCAAAATCCAATTTCTCATGTAAAAAAAATATCCAAGCATACCAATTTTCATCCAAATGTCGACGTCATTTCAGAAAATTATTTGGAAAAATCCTAAATAAAATTGAAATTTCTACACTGGGTGGGTCTCAAAAGTGGCTCACCCCTATAACTGTTTTATTTTTTTCAGATAAAAAAAACGAGCTTAGGTATGTTAGTATATGACATAAATTAGGACCGACTGACGTATACAATTGTTTTTGGTCACTTCCTGTTTTACCGGAAATGACTACAACTTTTGATTTTTAAATGGCACCCTCGGTATATTTCTATTTAATTGGATAGAAAATGACACTCTGAATAGAATGACATATCATATGTGAACTTTTGACATTTTGGCTTACAAAAAAATCGAATTTTAAATTCCAATTTAGAGTTCCATGGCTGTGTTAAAAACACTAATTTTTAATCAAGGAGCCTTTGAAAAATAGATTTGATCATCTAGTGTTTTTCGTGTCTTGTCCTGGCAGGTTAAAAGATGCCCAAATCGTTTTTTAAATCATATCTCAGTTTTTTCAAATGGAACAAAGGTGGCTCATTAGCATATTTGGAGAAAGCATTTTTTTTAAGAATAATTTGGTATCACAGACTTGGTATTTCGAGTCAAATTGTCATATAAGGAACCGCATGTTACAATTTCAATTTATCCATATTCGAAAATGTCAAAATTTGACATATGATATGTCATTCTATTCAGAGTGTCATTTTCTATCGAATAGATTAAAAATATATCAAGGGTGCTATTTAAAAATGAAAAGTTGTAGTCATTTCCGGTGAAACAGCTAGTGACCAAAAACAATTGAATACGCCAATCAATCCTAATTTATGTTATATACTGATATACTATAATAATAATAGTTCCCGTATATAGCGTTTAACGCCTTGGGAGTAGCAAGGTGCACCTTGCCATGCTAGAGCCGTTCGGTATACAAGGAAGGTTTTGGCTAGCACTACGCTTAACAGCCTATTATTACCTCAGGATTGTGAATCCCAAGTACTCATTTAAGGCTTAGTCGACCTAGGTACCCAAACTATTTTTATTTTATTAAAAAGAGTCGGCTGCTGAACTGCAGACTGTAGGATTCGAACCCACATCCTTTAAATTGGTAAACGAGAGCTGTACCTCTACGCCATCGGGCACCTTACTAACATACTAAATCTCGTTTTTCTATCTGAAAAAAAAATAAAAAAGTTATAGAGGTGAGCCACTTTCGAGACGCACCCGGTATATCTCCGAAACTAAGCCATTTTACGACATTAATTTATACGAACTTTATTTGCTTTAAAACACTAATTCACCACAATTTACCAAAACACTTATTTTCATGCAAGCGCAGAGAAAAAGAACTTCTAATTTTTGTTTTCTTTAAAAGAATTATTCAATTTTGTTTTCCTTGATACTTTAAGTGGGTCATGCAAGATATTGTAAATAAGCCAAATCTGTACAGCTATAATTTTTATTTACATAGATAAGACCAAGTTGTTCCACCACTGTCACTGAAAATTTATAGCACATTTTATCTGGTTAATGCTGTTCGATTTGGATTCGGTTATATAATACCCATTACCCATTATTTATTGTTATTTTTCCCTTGCTGTACAATTACTCTTCGATAATGTACATCTCGGAAAACAATGTTCTAATGTGGGATAATCGATATGTAGAATTTCTATAGATGTTCAAATAATGCACTTCTATTCTGCTAATGCGCCATTAGAATTGAGCAATCGCTATAAATATATTAACGGATTGTTTAGTTCAATAGGTAGTTTGGATGAAAGGACAATTTATTAACATAATTACGTATCCTATTAATTAAAACTTAAAATTTATCATAGATTTTTATTAGAAAGGACAGGATCATGTGTACAAATGACTCAATTTTAATACTACTTACTACATGCTTAGATTTAAACATATGATGATGATGCTAACATGGCTAGCGTAACGCGCATCTTACAAGAAATCCTATAAAGATGATTGATATATAAATTCCCCAAATTATCTTTGAATCCACTGTGTCGGGAGATAGTTAACTTCAAAATTATCTTGAGTTAGTTTTACTATCTTTTCATTCAAGTCTTTCCAATAAAGAAAACACAAAAAGATTTTAATCAGAAGAAAAATACTACTAATACTACTAGATACCATGTGATTTGAATGTGATGAAAAATTTACATTGAGAATACGAACAGACTATTTTATATCTAAAACATGTTTGCTTAAATTAACATCAGATCTAGTGGCCAGAGGATACAGTTTGGTGGTCAAAGATAATGTAATATTTTCATCCAACCTATAGTTGAAGTGCCAACGGATTTCAAAACTTTTCTAAAGAAACACAGTGCAGAAGTCCATGTGGTCTGCCAGAGGGAGAATGTGATTTTTATACTAGAATAATTATAACTCGTATATAAATTGTGTAGCTGAGGATGTTTAACTATAGTAACCAATTGATAAGGTAGGGCCATTTTGTGATTTAGTTTTCTACTGGAACATGGAATTTAATTTTAGTTGTATTAACAAAATGAAACGCTCAATCAATATTTTATGATATCTACTATACTAATTTTCAGCTCATTTATTTAGAACAGAAGATCACGTTTTACTTACTCGTTTAATCCTAATTTTAGGGTGTTCCCGGAATTTTTCAGTAAATTGTGTGCCTCGCTATTCGTTAAATTTTTGGTACTCCTGCTGTTTATCGTTGTAATTAGGTCCCCCTCTCTTATTCCCCTCTGCGCCGCTTTGCTTCCAGGATTAACCTAAATCAAGAGAAACACCATCATTTATTACTGTCTTTAACAATAAGTTTACTTTCCTTATATTAATCATTTAGCTGTATTTGCAGGATGTGTAAATATTAGAGGAAAGTTCTCAATCTCAATCTCAAAGTATTAAACAATAAAATATAGGATAACCTTCGTACTACCACTTAATTAAGGGCATTATACCGGGTGGTATGGAAACCTAAGAAATCCCATGCAAATTTTGAACTTTTTCTGAAACTATCGAAATATATTTATTCATGTCTTAGGATTATGTAAAGTGATCTGAAAGGAAGCCAAAAATGTAATAATATACAGGGTGTTCAATTTAAAAAAAATCATCCCAATCCACTCACACTTTTTTGAGCCACCCTATAGAAGTTAAAATGTTTTCCTGAAATACATCCTTGTACACATTTAAGGTTTATACTTAAACAAAATTTCCAAGATTTTTATTCTAGGAGCTACAGATGTCCGACGTATTATTGCCGGACCCTGTAATAATCATTTACCACTCTTATTGTATCAAATATAACTACAACAAACATTCATTATTTATTATTGACATTTTGTAATATAACAAACAAAATTAGTATGTTTAATAATGAGCTTTTGACGTATTTTTTGAACTGTACTATAAATGCAATATATTTTCTATTTAATGTCTATTAAATAGAAAATACCCTGTATAAGTTTTCTATGTAAAACTTATTTTGATGTCAGCAAAATAAAAACACTAATTTAGTACAACATATACACCAACACACTTTACATTTAACATTGGACGCGCGTTTCGCTAACCATGTTAACATCATCAGCAGATGATTAAAACTAAAAAAAAACTGAATGATAAATTTTGAGTTTTTTTAGTTTTAATCATTGTTTTGGTGTATTATGGTGAATGAGTGTGTTTATTATCCTGTTGTAACACCAAAGGTTCCAACCCCCAGCTGTAATCTTATTTCGGCCTGTTAATTTCGATCTTGTGTCATTAAGAAATCTAATTAACCTTCGTAAGACACCGTGGGGTCGCATATACCCCAGGCTTTATATTACTGTAAATAAATTTGAAATAAAGCGACAAAATGTGCTACCCTCTGGTGTAAATTTAAGTTAGCATGTTATCCATATGTCGCCCGCAGCGTTCGTTGACATTTGAATTAGTTGACTTGCAACAGTAAGATAAACTGTGTGTGGGGTCCGTTTGACCCCAAGGTGTCTTTGACGTTACATACTTATTAGTAGTGAAAGTTGTTACTACTTTACATAATTTCTATTTGGTGAGTACTTTTCATCAGTTTTCCTGATTGTTATTTATTACTTGGCTATATTTCAGAAAAAAAAAACATGGATCAAGCCAGCAGTTCTTTCGGCATCAAGCGCCCTTGATAGAAAAAGAGCTCGAGGAAGAAATGAATGAAGTTCTTTTAGAAGAGGAAAACGAAGAGGATGATTTTTTTAGTGACAATTACACGGAGAGGGATTCAGATTATTTGGAAGAACAGTAGGTGTCAGATAGTAAGCAGAGTGATGAAGAAATGCAAGCAGAACAGCCTCTAGAGGAAGAGCAGCAGGAATCAGGAAGTGAGTCAAGTGATATGGATATGCAAGAAAAACAGCCTTCTATGAATAGAACTGCAATACTGAAAGGTAAAAATGGCTATGAATGGAGTACTGAACATCATGAAAGTAGAGGAAGACGTCCAATAAGGAATATTGTATCCATTATGCCAGGTCCTAAAGGACAGGCTCGCAGCGTGAAAACACCACTTGAATAAAAGTCTATAAAAATAATGTTGGATTTAAAGATATAAGAAATAGTTGTTTTTTGTTAGTTAAGGTGTTATCTAATACATATGACATATTTTTTTGACCTCCAAAACCTATAAATAGTCTGCATGGGTCTGCATGACCCCATGGTGTCTTTCAAGTTTGAAAAATTAACGGTGTCTTATGAAGGTTAATAACAGAAATTTGCCACTGTTTCACATTCTAATTCTCGTTATTTTAAGCATTGATATAACATAAACATTTTTTAGTTCCTCCAAATGGAGATATTATATAAAAAAAACATGTGGGGAAACGAGCAAGAAAGCTTTAAATTTAAAAGTCCATTTTTGGTTCTATATCGAAACATATTTTAGCACTATCATTATTGCACGTTTTATTGCCCTTCTGGTCTTTTTATATTTGTACTGTTAGTTTTAGCATCATTTCGAAAGCAAGCCATGTTTTGAATGATCTGAAAAGAGAGCTGAAAAGAGAGTAAAATCTGTCCAATGAGTCAGGGAAGATTTCGATGATATTCAAAAAATCACGGAAAATAAAATTTACCTGCAAAATAAAATTACAAAAAACTGTCACTGTCATGTATTCGCTCGTAGGATAGACTTTACATATACAGAGTGAGTCTTTTAAGACTCTTATCACTTATTTATAAGTGCAAATATTTTCAGGGCTGGTATATTTCGATCCCAGGAACACGTCTGTGAGGTTTATTTCGCAAAAGAATGTTCAAAATTGTGCATTTTCTTTTAAATTTCCCTGTATATTTTTCGAAAACTTTTTAGAACTGCCTGTTGCACTGCAAATTTTCCCACGGTATAATTTTTTAATCTCTGATATTACCATGGTTATGGCACTAAAAGGGATGCAAAATTGCCAGTTCCTACAAGAGTTATATTTTTAATCATTCATACGAGAAAATGCAACTAACAAGTAAAAAAATACTGAAAGAGGGTGAAAATTTCAGAAAAGGTGGGAACAAAATACCCTGTATGGTAAAGTGCAGAGATACTAGCCAATTATGATTAATTTATCTATTTCAGTATAAAAATATACCCTTTTAACCGTTTTGAAGTTTAATTAGAAATAACGAGAACTAAATCTTATACAATGTATCTGTAATCAATCAAATTAGTACAATATACCTGTAATAACGAATCACGAAACGTGTGTTTTGAGTAGGTAATAAATTGTACTCGATTTTAAGTGTCTTACCTTGTCAGATCAACTCAATGATTCAATTTTACAGATGAGGGTTGAAACTTTGGTGTTAGAAAAAAATAAAGCACTAATTTACCACATTATACACCAAAACACTTTTCTTTTGCACCCCTAATTTATTGATACATAATCCGTGAAATACAAAATATTTTTCCCACTTCATACAAATTACACGAAAAACATTTTTTCTATCTATACGTCTCCTTGTAACATTACAATTTTTCAAATAAGAAAGAAAACTTTTTTCTTTGAATTTTCAAACTGAAATAACTCGGTTATTTTGACTTATTTGAAAAACGGCAAAGAGAAAATATGTTTCTTTTATCGAGATAAGGGCCTACCAGGCCTGAAAATATTTGCACTTATTTAAGACTCACCCTGTATATCTATTCTGAAAAATTTAAAATCAAAATTTACTAACCGTTAAGGATCGACGTTTTCCATAAGGCGAACAGAACTTCAACATCTTTTTTTGCAAAAAAATCAACAAATCACATCGATTACTCAACAGACCCGTTTTGCGTTTAACCGTCGCGTCAGAGGCCGCTGACATAAACTATTAACGATTTTAACGATCAGTGTATTAATCCTTTATTTACACTGTAGAAGTTTCAATTAAGACTGCTTAGACCATGTAATGTAAAAGACATTGTGAAGGACCCTCGACTTCCTTGAGAGCCAAACAGTGGGCCAGTTGTAGCCAAAAACGATCCAAGAATAGCCTTTTTCATTTTATAAATTTTGGTAATGAAAAACTAACTTTTTTGTTACTTTCCACAAGAAAATTATTCATACGTCTTTTATAATGTTGATAATATGTAAATACCTAGTATTAAATTATTTGTTTGGATACCCATTTTGTTTGATGTTGATTTAATAACCATCTTATAGCCTAAATTTTAATCACAATTACAGCTATTCTGAGGCTGTTCGATCTACAATTTCAATAGTTAGGTTAGACAAGTAAGTATCTATTGAAATTGAAAATTGAAATTAAGAAAAAGTAATTGGAAATATCAATTATATAAAAAAATATAATATAATAAATTGACATGAACGGAATAGATTTTCATTTTAAATTTGGTTTAATATCTAGATTACTACTAGTTCATAATACTATATGAAAAAAAAATCATGATACTGTAAAAATTTAGCTTGGAAATGAAGAATTGATGATATTTCCCATATAATTTTACATACAAAATAACAGCGATCTTTATTTCCAAGTCATCTCTGACTTTTGTAGTTCTGCATAGAGATGATACTAATGTCTGTAAGAGTTGGAAGATTTCGACAGAATACAACCAAAAAATAACAGAAAAAAATACCTGTGAGTTAAAGTAAAGCACACAACTGTCGATATCACTCATCCACTTGTTGAACAGACTTTAGCTGAACTTGTTTAGAAAGAAAACTATATTATCTATATAAGTATACTGGATACACAAATGTCAATGTTTTTTATTCTGGAGATAGTGGGTGTTGTTGAGTATTAGACTATGGAGTGTAGAGGTAAGGAAAATAATTTCTTCGTACATTAAAAAATGGCCATAAAAAGGCAAGACTTTAGATGGCGCTGCTGTAGCAAACACCTAAAATTTAAAATATGCACCGAAAACTTTTAGAACAGAAAATGATTCAAAAGAGATAAATATTTGATGTGAAGGCACGAGTTTCAATAAAATACAAATTTTATTTTCATTTTAACCTATAACTTTTTCATTTCAAAACGATTTTTACTCAGCAGCAATAGACTGGGCCTCTAATACCGGGTGTGTCTCAAAAGTGGCTCAAACTTTTTTATTTTTTCAGATAAAACAACCATATTTGGTATGTTAGTAGGTATATTACATAAATTGGGATTGATTGACGTATTCAATTGTTTTCGGTCACTTCCGGTTTCACCGGAAATGACTACAACTTTTGATTTTTAAATGGCATCCTCGGTATTTTTTTTTACTTTATTCGATAGAAAATGACACTCTGAATCG